AGCTGGACTGTGGGGCTCCTTCAGCTCTACACAAGGGGGCCCATTTTGGTGAAGGAGAAGGTCCCATCTGGTATAAAGACTTCCACTGTGAAGGAGAGGAATCCTTCCTCCATGAATGTCTCATGTCAGATAGATCAGAAAGAAACTTTACACATGGCCATGCTGTGGAACTGATCTGTACAGGTAAGTTCTTTCAGTATTTAATTTTTATACTGATAAATTCAGTTTATCCTTTTGGCCATTAAATATAACCCTAATTTAATCTATTAGCTATCTGTTAGTTATTGCAAGTTATTGCTGCTCTTAACAATTCATAAGATTATATTTCACGATGTCTGTCAATTACTCTTTTGCATCTCTGAGAACACAGTTTACATTTTGCTCTTATTGTCTTTAGGTCATCATGATGTGAGGATTGTGGATGGAGCCAGTCCGTGTGCTGGATCAGCGCAGGTGTATCAGTGGGGGAAGTGGTGGACATCAGCACCGTATTTAACTGAACTGAAAGACCTTAAAAATGCTCTCGCGGTGGTCGGGAGAGAAACGGGCTGTGGACCATTACAATCTGTTGGAGGACCTGAACATTTTTCTTATTTGCAAACCAGCATATTGATAAGTGAACATTTCTGTAACGGATTGGAATCTAAAGTGAGCAATTGTGAAAATAATTACTTTATTGAAGCTGAGACACTTCCTAAAGAAATCCTTCAGTTCACTTATACAGGTAGGAATCGCATCATACAATACTGGGTCACTGAGGTTATTTAAAACACCTCACTTTTTAAAATCGTATATTTTTTATGCATTTCTTTTCCTGATGCATCCAGCCATTTATGTCCGATTTTTACCTCCATTTGTGTTTTCGTAGTTTCATGTCATTCCACAGACACACACCTATATTCAGTCCCATTTCTATGGTTAAATCCATGCACTGCCGTAAAACTGCAGTTTCTCCTAGACGTCCTCTTACATTGACTGTGCATTAAGCCACTTTGCTGAATATATTTCAGTAAATGTAACGTTAAGGTGTCTCCCTGTGTTTATCACTTCTGCTACTTCCTCCAGCAGGAAAAAACACGTGGTTATTCAGTTCATTATTTTATATGTATATATAGAGTCACTGCAAGGCACTTTACATGGATGTGCTGGGATACCTTCCTGCATCATTTATACATGTAGGGAGGAAAAAAAAAAACTTCTAGGGGTCTGAGATCAACTGGCTACTTAGTCTTCTAGCTGTCAGTTTGTTTCAGGGAACCTGCAGAAATGTCCCCCTATGCTTCCTGAAGCACCTCCCACGAGTTAGACTGGCTTTAGAGACACATCTTTTGTACCATATGGTCAAACTGCTCCCACAACAGCTCAACAGGGTTGAAATGCAGTGAATGCTTGGCCAGTCTTAGATACGTCTTCTTCTTTGAACTTCTAAAAGTTCACCATCCCGGAGTTGCCACGTCACTGTTGAAGATGTGACTGGTGTTTTGCAGGTATTGTTTAAAAAAGCTGCTATAGCTTAGATTCTGTGTGGCGTGTGTCTCATAAGCTAGAGACTCAGATGTTTTTGTCCTTCTGTACAGTTGTGCACTGGGGTATGTTGCCCATGTATCTTTCTGTCCTTGTTAAAGCCAGGTTGTGCTGTTCTGTGAGGGAGTTGCACACACCTTGGTACGATATCTTCAGTTCCTTAGCAATTTCTCACATGGCATTCATTTCTCAAAACAACAATAGACTGATCGATTTCTTTTTTGCCAATTTGAGACCTGATGCTCCAGATACTCAGAGATGTTCAGTGTCATTGCTTCCTTATACAGCACGATGATTTTAAGCATTGCTAATGTAATTGCACAAGGGTGTTCCAATGTTGAATTAATCTATCAACATGATAACTTATGAATGGCCAACATGATTTACCATTGGGGCACAGAAGTGATGTTTGCTGAAAATGGGCCTTTGTCCACCTAAGTCGAAATAGTGGTAAAAATCGACTGTTTCTAGCAGTGATTTACAACATTACCAATATCTAGACCATATTTCAGACCAATTTAATGTTTTAATAGAGGCAACAAATATTTTCGTTCACGAGCAAGTTAAATTCTCAGTGAATCCAAACTTCTGAATCGTAGTGTGCATGACACTAGTGTCTTAGATAAAATTAACATCAGAATTTTTCCACCTCAGGCCATCGAGGGGTTCGGCTGATAGGAGGGAGTCACATGTGCTCTGGGAGAGTGGAGATTCAGCACGGAAGAACCTGGGGCTCAGTGTGTGACGCTGACTTTGACTGGCAGGACGCTGAGGTGGTCTGTAGATCACTAGGCTGTGGGGAACCTGCACAGCTGCTGGGGGGAGCTGCCTTTGGTCAGGGAGAGGGAGGGGTGTGGTCTGAGGAGTTTCAGTGTCAGGGAAACGAGTCTCATCTTGTTTTCTGTCCCAAAATGACACATAACAGGACCTGCGGCCATGAGAATGATGTGGGCCTGGTGTGTTCTGGTAAGAGTATCATTGCTCTCAGACAACCTCACTGTGTTATTATTATTATTATCTGAG